AGTAATGATATTTGAAGTATGGAAGTTTTATCCTTTCTTTTATGGTTCATTGGTTCTGACTGATTTGCAAATCATATTGCATGAGTAGAGTCAAGGTAGGAGAATTTTTGTGATTTAATACATGCAAGTTTTTTCAGGTTGGATTTTCTCATTCGAACATTCTGCGAAACATTATCCATCGGGCTTGCTTGAGGTTTCCTGAGCTTGCTACATTTAGTAGTAAATCAGGTCAGCTGCAGAAAAAAATAAAATCCTCAAAGCTTAATGAAACATCCAAAGGGCGTCAAGGCTTTCGGAAAGTCTTTGTAATTTTTGGAGGAGACACTTCGGAGCGACAGGTATCCCTTATGAGTGGAACTAATGTTTGGCTCAATTTGCAAGGATTTGACGATGTAAGTTGGTGTCATTTATATTATGATCCAAATGTTTTATAGGTATGGCACTGTCTGAGATATTAATGTTGGTGTCTACAGGTTGAAGTAACTCCCTGTTTGCTTGCTCGCTCAATTGACCATTCATCTACTACAGATTCAGATAAATCGGACCCTGATTCAAGTTCCATTGAAGTTTGGTCGTTACCGTGAGTATATCTTTTAAATATCTGACCACATCTTTTTTTTTCTTCTTTTTTAAATGCATAGTTTCTAGGATAACTTTTTTTCTTATGGCCTTTCCATTTTCCTTTTCTCATTGCCTGTTGGTCTATCATGGAAGAAGCTAATCTTGGAATTCTGATTATTTCACTTGTTGGTGGTTAGCCCCTTCCATATCTTATTAATCTAATTTGACAAATGAACTTATGTTTCTCTCTCACACACAGTTACTCCCTTGTGTTGAGGCATACAACGGAGGAAGTCCTTGATGCATGCATGGAGGCAATTGAGCCAGCTCGAGCTGCCTTGACTTCTCACTTAAGAAACCAAGTGATGAACGAACTCGCAGAAGGTTTGACGAAACATGGTTGGTTTACTGGGTTTGACATAACTGATGAGCTACCAACAAGGTATTCACTGAAGAGTGGATACAGTATGCCAAGAAGTCGATGCAACAGTTTTTATTGCAGGTTCTGTTTCTTAGCTGTTTAGTCGGTAATGCTAGATGGTTTTCTATATATTCCATTTGTGTTGCAGATAGCCTAATTCGGGTATTTGGGAAATTATTAAATTATGCTGATATATTATCTTCTAAAAAAGTGGATCCATTTCAGCTTGTTTTCGATTTCGATGACCAAGTTAATGTTAATTGCAGTGCATGGAGGCATTGGTGAAGATGGAACACTTCAGTCTTTGCTGGGTGCTGAAGGAATTCCTTATACAGGTTCATCCTTGTTGCTTCTTATATATCATGGTTGCATTGTTCTTTTTATGGTTAATCGATTTTTGTTTCTTTCGAATTCTCTTTCCTGCGAAGGTCCTGGCATAACGGCTTCAAAAGTTTGCATGGATAAAATTGCAACTTCTCTGGCTCTTGATCATGTATGTTAAGCAAATAGATATATATTTGAAAGTCAAACAGCGTTTCTTTGATTCATTATCGGTTCGAGTAGATTTTTATTTACTAAGCAGCTTAGTTCATGGAAATCAACAGCTGAGAGACAAGGGAGTTCTTACCATAAACAAAGATGTGAAGAAAAAAGAGGATTTGTTGAAAATGCCCATTCTTCAGACTTGGAATGACCTAATCTCAAAGCTTCAGTGTGAAACATTATGCATTAAACCAGCGAGGGATGGATGCTCTACTGGTGTTGCAAGATTGTGGTAGGTTTATCTTCCCTGTTCAATGCCAAGCGCCGACTTACCTTTGCCATTCAACTATGATATTTTCATAATCTTCGTATCTGCTAGAGCTACGTCATTCGATACAAAAGTCTGTGGTTTTATTCATTATTATGATCCAATTTTAATCATTTCTTACATGCAGCTGTGCAGAGGACCTTGCAGTGTATGCAAAAGCCTTGGATGATTGCCTTCTACGGATTCCTCCGAATAGTTTTTCAAAGGTATAAAGCATGGCTTCACTTCATCTGCCCTCGGATCAATAAAAACTTCTTTCTTTCTCTTGCATGTATAGGCACATGGAATGATTGAGATGCCAAACCCCCCTCCAGAGCTCTTGATCTTTGAACCATTTGTGGAAACAGATGAAATTGTTCTTTCATCCAAAACGGTTTCAGAAAATTCGCAACGCCTTCTATGGAAAGGACACAGTCGCTGGGTAGAAGTAACAGTCGGTGTTATCGGTAAACGAGGATCAATGCACCGTTGAGTCCTAGCATAACCGTCAAGGAAACCGGTGACATTCTGTCACTCGAGGAGAAATTCCAAGGTTTGTCTTTGTTTTTATACAAACCTCCCCTCCTCTTTGTATATAAGATGTCGGGCTGCTTCATTCGACAAAGTTTGCATCTTTATCGTGTAATTAAAGAAGTATGAAGCTTTCGACAGGAGCGAACTTTGTTTTGAATAATGTTCAGGGAAATATATATATATATAGCGTGCATTATCTGTAATAATGATGTAGTTTTGCTTTAACAGGTGGAACCGGAATCAATCTGACTCCTCCCCCGGTATCGATTATTAGGTTTGTCAAGTTTCTTCCTTGCAGAGAGTTCAATATGATATCCATCTCACTTCATTATTGATGTATTAATTCCCTCTTACATTAATGTTTTACTGCATTTCTGATACTTCTGAAGGGCAAAGCCAGGCATTTCCTTTTCATTTTCATGTAATGATCTTTCGATTGAATTAGTTTTCTTCTTCGATCAGTAACGAGGCTTTGGAGCGATGTAAACAACGTATCAAACTAATTGCCAACACCCTGCAACTGGAGGGATTTTCAAGAATCGATGCATTTGTTAATGTTGACAGTGGAGAGGTAAGTCTCTTCTATCATGTTATAGAGTGCGCCTGACTAAGCCGAACAAAGTTAAGAAACCGATTAATCATGTTGCAGGTCTTGATCATAGAGGTCAATACGGTGCCTGGAATGACTCCTTCCACCGTGTTGATACATCAGGTAAACCCGTCCCGTCCCGAATCGGCATTAAATTTATGTTCTAGATTATTGGGAGAATGAGGCCTCATTTATGCTTCAACATACTATATGTCATTTCTGGCATATCTAAGTTGTTCCGGTGGCACAATATAATTTTCAGGCACTGGCAGAGCAGCCTCCTGTGTATCCTCACCAGTTCTTCCGTAAACTACTTGATTTGGCCTCGGAGAGAGTGGAGTAAAAGCTGTGGATGGATCTTCTTAGTACTTACGGTGCTGGCTGTTGAAGAATGAGGAGAGAAATGCAATTGTGAAAAGTTAAATGGTCAGGTTTATTATGTTGCCACAAGTAGATGATGCACGAATCAAAACTCCAACACAATTATGAGATTTGTTTCTTTCTTTTCATTCTTTTCTTATTTTGTTATTATATTGTGATATCATAAAAGCTTTCATAAAATCTAGAATGGGGTGTTTAATTGATAATTCTCGATTTTTATCACTTCATTTTCTATTATATTTTGGTAGACAAATAGTTAATATGTCCATATTTTAATTTTTTTTATTAAATGAATATCATCCAGTAAGATAATAATATTAGTAAGAAAATAGTCAAAATGGTTTATCGAATTAAATTTTTTCCTTAAAAGCAGTGATTTTAAGAAAACTTTTCGATTTAAGTGACCAAAATAATAAAACCTTAAAAACTTAGTGATTGTCAATATAATTTACCCGTCATTTATTATAAATAAACTCTCATCAGCCCTAAAAAAGAAGAAAAAACTCTCCATCTACTTTTGCTAGTTGTATTGGAGATAGTTTTTTTTATGATGTTTGATTTTGATGTCCGATTATCAATTGTTTCATAATTTGATTTTATGTTGTGATTCATTTGTCAAATAGAGTTAGAATTATTCATATTTATATTTTGTTTTAGTTTATTTATGTGTTTTAAATTTTTTTATATAATTTTTATTTAATCTTAAGTGACTAGTTTATTGTGTCTATAATTATAGTAAATATCCTAATTATATATTTTGTTATGTCTATGTTATAAATTTTTAATATAAATTTGGATATTATCTACTTTTAATAAAATTAAGAACTTCTGTTTGTATTAAAAAAATATCTAGTAATTTTTTCTCTCTTAGTTTTCTCTCATTAGTAAGCCGCTCATTTCTTTTTTGTTGTCATTGTTGATCGACGACATAAATTTTAATGTTGGTTTTTAACCATCGATATTTTTTATTTCATTTTATTTTATTTTCTTTTTTTATTTGCAATAAGCATGCCTGTATGACACGTTTTCATCTGTCTTTATGACACGTTTTTCTATCTTTTGGCACTTGTTTCAGTAGTTTAGTCGTTATTTTTATTTATTTATTTTTCTAAGGGTTAATTTTATATTGTCACAACTAATTAAGATGATGTTTATCTGTTATATTATATATCTTCTCTATTTTTGACCCTTGGATTAGATTTGGATACTCGTTATACGTTCATGAATAAATTTTCATGTCGCTCGAGTCTGATTTACAATTTATCGGCGATCTTTCAGTAACTTGATCTTTTATGGTTCGTTTGACATGCGATCAGATCTATTTGTATCTATCTTTGTTTGAGTTTTATTGTTTTTTCTTGTATGGTCTTTATGTGATCTTAAGTTGCTAGTTTTGTTTCAATAATTATAGGAAATTGTTATGTGCTTATTTACAATTATGATTATAATTTTTTATTATAGTTTATGATATTTCTTATTTTAAATAAAATTAGTGATTTTTGAATAAAATTAGTGATTTTAAAAAAAATCTAATAATTTAATGATTACCGAAGGAATTTATTTTAAAATAAAATACTTTTTTAAAAGGATTATAATTAATTTCTTATGAGCATGAAGCCAAGCAAATACAATTAGTGGAAAAAATAATTCTAAAAAAAAAAGATGAAAAAGGTAATAGATTTTGGCTTCTTTATTAGGACACAACGCATTTTCACTAAATTTTTTTTCCCATTTGCTTAGAGATTAAAATTCAATTTATGGGAACATCGCTGCCGATCGCAACCAACAAGCTTCAACATCTCGCAAAAGTCACCGCCTTCAACGGAGCGAAAAAAGGCCAAACCCCCAACGCAGCAGCGGCGGCGGCGGCGGCGGATTGTAGGTGAAGACAAACCCAATCCCAAGAAGAAGATGGAGAGCTCCAGCGCCACTCAACGCCTGCCTCTCTCCGAGGTTGTCTCCGATTGCGTCAAGCGGTGGTTCAAAGACACTCTCAAGGAAGCCAAAGCTGGGGACGTTAACATGCAGGTTCTCGTCGGTCAAATGTATTATAGTGGCTATGGGATTCCCCGAGATGCCCAAAAGGTTTTTTTTTTCTTTCCTTTTTCCTCTTATTGGGTTCCTAAAGCTTTCCTTTTTTTTTTGTTCCACTTTGGGTGGGGTTTAGGGTTTATGCTTCTCTGTTTTGATTGCTTTGTAGAATGTACAAATATTACTGATGAATTTTGGAAATTTGCCATTTTCCTGTTTAAATTTCATTATTAGATGAAGAAGAGTTTCAAGCTTTTGTTTTTATTTTCTTGGGTTCCAAAATTAACTTAGAGCAACAACAGGGTTTTGGATTTTTTTATGTTATTTCTTATTTCGTCTCTTCCGATTAACGTTGACATTGTTTTGATATATTGTGATTATAGGGAAGAATTTGGATGACAAGGGCATCGAGGCTGCGCTCTTCGGTTTGGAAAGTCAGCGATAAGCATCCAGGTTCACCTCTGTAAATATCAATCTTCATCACCTTGTAATTGTTGACTGATAATTTATAATTTATAGTTGATAGTTGGTTGCTCTGAGTATTTATCAGGTTATAATGCAAGCGATTCTGATTCGGATGAAATCAAGGGTGATTCTTGAGTTAACATACTTTGGTCTCTGCGTTTATAACATTTAGAACTGTGAGTTGCCTTAGTGCTCTGCTTTGTTCTTATTAATTTGTATTCTTCACTGAAGTGAATATTATAGAATAACAATCCGATATTTCAGTTTTGGAGTGCATTATTGTTCTTCTTTTGCTTAACTCGCATTTTTTCACTACATTGAACATTTTATATTCTTAGGCATGTACTTGGTCCTTTTATGTAATATTTAAGCATGGATCTGCTACAAATTTACATCTTGCTTATAATCTAACTCTAACGTTCTCTTTTGCCTATACAACAATCCTTATACCCCGGGATGTGCATAACTGGTTATTTACATGATTATCGACAGTCGACACATTTTATAGAACCTAATGTTTTATCACAAACTGTTCGTAGTATCTCTTAAATTAAAGCTCGCTCTCGTCTACTCTTTCCTCTCCCATGTAGTCACACATTTCTCTCCTACCGTAGATGGTCGATATGTGCATTCCAAGCTCGCATTCTTGTGTTGAACTGGCCACATATTATGTGTTATATTTCTCCTTATCCCACTTATAGGACACTTTCACTAGGTTGATAATAGGAATTGTTTAGTGGGCTAACGCATATGCTCTTTCTTGTTCCTTTTGAGGAATGTAGTGAAAGGGGAATGATGGGTTTTAGTTGTGATAAGTCAAGCCGAGCTCCTTCATCTACTGGTCTGGGCCTGGCTCATTAATAAGCTTGATCAAGTAGGTTTACTTTACTAACAAGCCTATACGATCTCAACATGTTTGAGCTAAAGCGGAGCAGAACCTTATTTTCTGCCAAGCTCAAGTGACTTTTGAAGTGCTCAGCTTATATGCAGCTGCTTTTATGTGTTTGTCCTTGTATTTCCACCCTTGCTTAAGTGGTCTTGGGGCTAAACTATGGGGCTGAATCTAAGTTCACATTTGAAAAGCTTCTGAAAAACTAGGTAGAAAGCTCATCCTGATTCTTATATATCACTTTTAACCGGTCCCAACGTTTTGCATTCATTACATAAAAGAGACGCACTTTACGTAGTTGTCACTGCTGCTGCTGTTGTTGTATTGCATCCCATCTGACAGCAACATGAACTACTTGATGTATGATGAACATTTTAATCCTTTGTATGGAAAGTAATGTCTATTGTGCTTATGTGCAGGGTTCTCATGGCTATTTTGTCTCGTTGAATGTTCCTGTGCTGTAACAATATTTTTCTTGTAACTTTTCCCCATAAATAGTGTTTTTTGTTGTTGGTTGGGTTGTTTAAGAAAAAATTACACATGGCATGTGTTAATCAATCATAAGATAATCTGTTAATGTTGCCTTTAGACGCTGGAACACTTTTGAATTATGATTTTTTGAAACTTAAATTTGAAAAATTAAACCATGGTTAAAATATTTCAAGAGATTCTAACATAAATTGTTGCTTCACGTGTAAATTTTATTGTGAATTTTACACAAACTTGTCTATTTTAATATTATATACCGTATTTGGAATTCATGTTGTGTCTATTTAAACGTCAATAAAATAGTCTCCGGTGTTTGAGAGATTCAATAAAATACGGGTAAAATATACAAATGGTCTCTAGTGTTGTGTTTTTTAGTCCTGACGATTTGAAGTTATAAAATGATCTTTCGATTATAGAATGTTATTTTGTTGAGTCTCTGATCATTAAAAGTTATGAAATGTCATTTGAGTATTCATATGTTTTAGACTTGTCATTTTCTATTAAATCGATGGTCGTTTGAGTTGGACGTTAATATGTTGATTGTGATATAATAAAATATAATTCTAGAATCTTAAACAATTAGACTGTTGATTGTGATATGATAAATTATGATTCTATAATCTTAAACAATTATATAGCTCAGATGATTTTTGAACCATATTTTATAACATCTCGGTCAACAAGTTAATATCATATAAATAATGGGGTGATCATTTTGTAATTTTTAATAGTCGAGAGATTAATGCTCTATAATCGGGATCATATTGTAACTTTTAATAGTTGAGGGATTCAATAAAGTATTATCATATGGTCAAGGGATTATTTATATAGTTTATACTAAAATATATAATACATGATGTAATATCTAAGCATAATAAACAGAAGAGTGACAGAAAGAGTTCAGTTGAAATTGTCAAATGAAATTTAAAAATGAGTTTAACTACAAAAAGCAATAGTCAATTTATAAAAAAGCCTTGAAATAAAAATATGGAAACATTCAATGACTATGTAACGAATTAATATAATATTAAGATGAGCTAAGCAATCCTGGTCTGGGGTGGAGATAAGGATTAACTTACCAGACCCAAGTGGATACAGAGAGGACCGACTTGGACTTTTCCATTATATATAATTAGGGTTAATTCTACGTAACATCCCTAGTCTATTGTTTATGTTATAAATTGGTCCCTTACCTTCAAAATATTGGTTGGGTTCTCAAAGTATAAGCATCAGTGTTAACTAGATCCTTCTGTTAATTTGATTATCAATTAAAGTTTTAAATGTTAGTTTACATATGATATTAAACATATCTAAAATATTTTGATCAAATTATAAATACATATGAGTCTATTCAAGGGATGGGACTAGGGTAGGGTATTGGGAGAAAATAACTTAGGGATCTAAGTCGTATCTAAATTAAAAAAATATATATATGAAGATAAGATTTAATTTGAATCATAATTAAACCATCGCTTAACTGCATGAATAAGTTGAATTTGACAGGTTAAAAAAATTAATATCAACGAAATTTAAAAGTGATGTTTTTTTAATACATCAAACTTAAATTGTTCATCTACATATATATATTTTATTGATATTTTTTAAATATTCTTATATTTTGATCTTTTAATAATTTATAATGTATTATTAACAAATAAAAAAATATAATTAATTAACATTAGCATCGTGAAGTATTACATCGATATTATAATGGTCAATAACGATTTTCGTTAATTAAAGAATCGCATGAATTGATTTTTTGAGTTTAAAAATTTAATTAACTAATGAAATAATATAAAATCATTTTTAGAAAGATGCATATAACTTGTTGCACGCTTAAACCTAAATAATAATTATTTGTACACTTGAGTTAACATTTGTTTCTTATTTAGCTTCGTTTACATTATAAAATTTACCTATTAATATTTGATAAATTAACTCAATTTATAAAACTTTAGAATATCTAAAAAGGATTGAAGCTCGTCAGGTCAAATAGCTTTAAGCGAATTGTAGTATGAACTGGTAACACGGATATTCTTGATCTTTTATCTCTGCCTTCGTCTAAGAGTCTCATTTCTCTTGTAAGATCTATCATCTTTCTCTACAATAAAGCTTGACTAGTTGTTTTCATTCTAGTTCGACGTGAGACAAATGCAACAGCTGATATCATAGCCAAAATGACCGACCCACAGGAAGACTCTCTCATGATTCATCTCCCATTGATTTATTTGAAATTTTAGCAAGAGATGTTTCTGACCCTCCTTATAAACGCATAAGGAATTGATACCTGTCATATTATCATGGGAGACTTCAATTTTAATATATGCTGTAGTCCAGTCAAAGCCACATACTTTGACCGGGTATTATTTTTCGACGGTCAAGCTTTGCTTTTAGCTTCCCATGGAGGATAGTAGAGACATTATTTCAAGACCATTAGGCAACTATATAAATCATAAGCCAACACCCTTCTGGTTCTCAATTTATTCCATGGCAGCTTCGTCTCCTTTTATGCACATGGACAACGTTAATCAAGTCACCGCCGTCGCCTGGCCGGTACTTCAAGTCCCGAACTTCAAATCATTTGCTCCTCCTTTGCCATGCTCTCAAGCTCTTGTTTCCCCTTTTTCTGCTTTTAGCCCCACTGATTTCTTGGACTCGCACGTATGCTTCTTAATCATCTCTAACTGAATCACTGTTTTCATGTTATATAAATGGTGATTAACTCTTGTTTTTATGTGTTTTCAAGGCGTTTGATTTCTCTTTCCAAGTGTTCGAACTGCAGCCGAGGCCTCCACCGTCGACCGACATCATCTCGGTGGAGCAACCGGCATGGAATTTCAATGAGACCGTGAAGCAGCAATCCGAGTTGACTAACAGGAAGGTTGAAGACGGGTATAACTGGAGGAAATACGGACAGAAGCAAATGAAAGGGAGTGAGAATCCACGGAGTTACTACAAGTGCACATACCCGAATTGTCCCACTAAGAAAAAAATGGAGACTTCTTTGGACGGACAGATAACCGAGATTGTTTACAAGGGTAGCCATAACCATCCCAAGCCTCAATCAAAGAGAGGTTCTCAGACTTCGTCGTCGGAGATATCGGATCAGTTTGACAAAGCTTCACCAACAAGTAATGGTGATGACATCAATGAAAATGAACCCTATTCCAAAAGATGGTAAGCTTGGCCTAGACGAAAACAACAAACTCTCACCATTAACGTGTTTGCTCTTGCTTATGGTTTTATGATTTTTTTTGCAGGAAAGGTGAAGACGAGATCGATGGCATCGTTGGTTGTGGTAGCAAAGCCGTGAAAGAGCCAAGAATAGTGGTGCAAACAACGAGCGATATCGACATTCTCGACGATGGGTATAGGTGGAGGAAATATGGGCAGAAAGTAGTCAAGGGAAACCCCAACCCAAGGCAATTTCATTTACTCTCCACCTAATTGTGTACTGATAGGAAGTTGAATGTATCTTATTCAGCTGTAGCTGATATTGTTCTTGTGTTCATCAATGTCTTGCAGGAGCTACTACAAATGTACGACGATAGGCTGTCCGGTTAGAAAACATGTCGAGCGAGCGTCCAATGATTTGCAAGCCGTGATAACAACTTACGAAGGGAAGCACAACCATGATGTTCCAGCCGCACGTGGAACAGGCTATGCAATGAACAGGCCTTCAATCACAACTGTGAACAATGTTGATGCTCCCATTGCCATGCCTATTAGGCCTTCAGCTATCCCCCGTCAGCCTAACAATATAAGTTACAAAAACTCGGGAATTACCTTGGAAATGCTGCAGCACAACAATGATGACTTCGGGTTCTCGAGATCGGGAAAGTCGATCGGCTCCTACATGAGCCAAATACAATTCTCAAACGAGGTATTCGCCAAGGATGAACCCGGAGATGATTCATTTTTGGATGGATTCCTGTCTTGAAAAGGGAAATACTGAATGTTCAATTCACAGAATTAGTGCATTTATTCATTTGTTTAATAAATAATCTCTTCAACTTCAACACTATTCAGGATTTGACAAAGTGAAATCTTCTTTATTTTCTTTTTTTCACATTTTCTTTTGTTGTGTGTTTCCATAACTACAAATCCATAGAATAGAACATACAACAAAGAGCTAAGGAAACTGCTCTGTACTCTGTACTGGGAAGAAGTCTAAACCAATTGATCAGTTGTATGACTGAGTAAACAATTTATAGCCAGAAATCATGGCTGATATTGCCAGCAATAAAAAGGCAAAGAAAGACAAGCTGATAGCCGAAGCTGAGGAATCGGTAAAAATGTTGTCTTGACCTTCTCTCATCCGGTTCGTCATCGGAATCGCCGCGGATACTGATGAAATCAACAAGTACGACACTACCTGCATACAGTTAGGCAAAGAAACAAACATCGGAAATCAACTTAGGGCGTGTTTAGCATTGCTTTTGACTATCCAAAAACACTTTTTGATAGCAAAACTACCACTAAGTTTTTGCCATAAACCAAGAAACATATACTTATCAAAATGTATTTTTCAACTGTAAATGTAATCCTAAACTAATCCTACATGTAATCAACTCCATGGATTACTGTTTTTAATCATCGAATTTCGATCAAGGAAACACTTGAGTTTGAAGTATAACGATAATGAACGTATATCATAATATTAAATTGCGGCTGCAATCGTGATTGTGGATCTGATGATATTGTAGACGTTACTTATTTCCTAAAAACAACTACGGATTTGAATTACGAATGCCATTGCGGTGTGGCGATAATCTTGAAAAATGATTCTGCATTATTACAGTGTGTTGCTGTCACAGTTTAATACTATAATGTATATCATATCAACCAAACAGAAAAGTTTTAAAGTGATATATAAGTTGATGAAAGCATTGGAAAAAGCAACCTGATCCCCAACAAAGTCAACCATGGCAGAGAGACGTTGATCCAATATTTGCTTCGCGCTCACATGTCTCAACGCTTGTACTCCCGTGTACAGAGCCGATAGAATTGCAATTGCCAACAAGTACCTGCAAGAAAGACACCATATTTTAAAATATATCAATCCCGATCTCAAATTAAACTTTTTTTTTCAAAAATTTGGATCGAATTGACTGTGATCGGAGTTTAGTATGACCTGTATTCTTCGTATTTATCAAAATTTTTCCAATCGCCATGCTTGTTGCTAGCCGTGATTATGAAAGAGAGCAAAGAGAGGAAGAAAGCGAATCCCCTGGCGATCAAGGACCCTTTCTTCAACAAATCCTCCCTCTGCCAACGCCTGGTAATGGCGGAGACGCCGAATCCAACCCCCGGAGAGGTGGTCTCCACGTCAGCTGGGGCTTTAGGCGCCTTCGCCGGCGATGCTGCGTCAGTATCGCGGGAATTCGACATATGGGAACAGAGTTTAGTGTAATCCGAGAATGAGATTTTGAATTACTGTTACCTGAAAAAAAATGGAAAATCAAAAGAAGAAAGGAGAAGAAGGAATAGTTTTCGCGGAAAAAGAAAGAAACTTGTGGATTAAGAAACGGTGGTTGGTTCCTCAAACTGACAACTCATCCGAATCATTTTACCTGTCTTTTGATATTATTTCCAAGTTGCACCATGTTGTTTCTTAGTATATTTTCTAATACTTCTCTATAATCTTCTTAATTTCGATCTAATTAATTCAATATTAATAAATATATAAAAATATTAAATAAGATATAATTATATTGAATTGTCTCAATAGTTAATGCAAGAGTCTCTTCACAATTCGAATAATTACATTTATAAAGTGTTAATAATTTAAACAAATCTTGAATAAATACTATCTTACAATCACCTTAAACAATTCGTGTATATACCTTAACAAATCTTTTTATGGTATGATTATTTATTTGTTTTTTATGCTAGAATCTCATCTACTGTTATAATAATTTAACGCCTTGTGTTGCATTCTTCACGATACACCTCCTTATCAAGAAATGTAGATGATAAGAATAATTGTTCAAACTATACTTTATGTTAACTTTAGGTGCCTAAAGAATTTTTTGATAAGAATAGGTGTCACTTAATGGTTTTTTTAACTATTGTTATTGTGTAAGCATTTAAAGTTTAACAAAGAAAACATTAGGCACATATTTCTTACCATAAATTCTTTAGACAACTAAAGTTACTTTGAATATAGTTTTAGTACTTATTTTTGCATTAAACCATTTTTTAATGGAAAAAGATGAGTTTGAAACATATGTATAGTCGGGTGATCATTTTGTAACTTATAATAATCGGGGACTCGATAAAATATTATCTTATAATCAGAGGATCATTTTGTAACTTTCAATAGTCATGAAACTCAACAAAATAATATTTTATAGTCGAATGATCATTTTTGTAATTTATCCATTTTCTTTTAAATAATGATGTGGCGGGAAACGACTTGTCCAATTGGTGCCACTGCCACCTGGATCTAGGTTTCACATGAGACGGGATGTAAGTTGCAGCGGGCGATTCAACTTTGTCTTTATCATTCTCTATGGATAAGGACACCGTAATGGTATTGGTGGAGAAATCAATGGAATGTTGGACGTGGTGATAATTACAACCTCGACCTCTACAAGAAATTTTTGTTTGGCTTTTCAGATTTTTTTTATAATTTGTTAGTGCGCATGGCTTTTGGAGTGTGTTTCAACATATTAACACATTTATGCACACGTATACATTTGTTTGGATAATTAGGAGTTTATTCTTGTTCTTTAACCTGTTGGTTTAAGCAGCAAACACACACTTGTATCGTCTATTACTAATTTCTTCAAATCCGTAACGAATAATAATTTTAGAATTTAAATATATAAATGATTTAAATTCGTAAAAATAAATCCAAAACCTATAAATATCTAAATTCACTATCCAAATTATGGTGAAAGTGATCGCGTGATGTAAAAGAAAGAGGGAAAATAAAGCAGGGTCTTAGCTTTAGCCGCTATTGGCATTAAGCACTGCACAGGTGGACCTCAACCGTTTTTATGTTATTTTGTAGGTGTCCCTGTCCTCGTGCTGGCCTGAGTTGGAACTAATACCCTACGCCCACGGATATCCAAGATGTGTGAATTGTAGGTCTCTTTCCTCACATTTTTCACGAACCCTTCCCAAGGTACCTTTCACTGCTTTCCAACGACCACATTTCAATAGAATGAGATGAGATTGTTCAAAATGTGATTGTCTAAAAGTAACAAGGGACGAATCTACGTGGAGAGTGGGAGGGACAATTGCCCCTATTTTGATAATTTAATTAGTTTTAGATCATTAATATTTTTTAAATCATTGTAACTAAGTCTTCGTCCATCTTCAAATTCATCATTGTAATTAGTTTTAGATCATTAATATTTATCCCCTCATAATTCAATTCAATTTTGACTCTATCACTAAAAATAACATTTCATATGTGAGAGAGTTTTGATTAAAATTATTAAAAAATTATAATAAGTATTTGGATAAAATATTAAAATCAACATCGTCAAATTAAATAATAATTATGATAATATCGTATAAAATATATGACGTGTCATTTGTATTTGAAACTAAACTAATAATTAAATGCTCACTTAAACATATTTTCTATGTTTGAAAATTGTCATTTTTGTTGATGGAAACAAATATGTTGCGATGGCTATAGGTAGTTCACCTTTGTAATTGAACACAAAGCCGTAGTCGGTAGTTAGATCATCGTTAGTCAATGGTGAAATATTTTGTCACCATTGGAAAGTAGAAAAGAGATGAGTTAGAGTGAGATGGTTTCATCCCTTCTCTCGATTTTCTTCGAGAGGTTTTATAGTAGCTCTTAGGGTGCGTTTGGTTCACGGAATGTAAGATTACCTGTGGGAATAAAAGATTACTAGGGAATAAGATTACTGGGAATGTTACATTACTGTGTTTGGTTGGTTTGGCAGGAATGTAAGATTACAGTGTTTGGTTGAAGGAATAAAAGATTACTGGAATATATATTTTACCAAATTATCCTTGTTCTATATTTATTTTTTTAACAAGTGAAATTCTAAATATTTAAATAAAAATTCTATTTGTTGATAATATATTACTTTAGTATTTAAATATATAATGTATTATTTTAATTTTAATTAATATTAAATTTTACATAATTTATGTAAAAATATATTTAAATTTTACATAAATATTTAACTAAATGTTTACATTGTGGAAATTCTTCATAGAATTCATAATAATAAAAAGATGTAAACTATTTTTGTTATCTAAGATATAATATTTATTATATCTTCTATATACAATAATTTATTTATTTATCTTTTATATTTATATTTAATTCTGCATACTTTATCATTATTATTTATCTCATTAATTTATATTACAAAAACATAACTCAAATAAGTAAGAAAATATAACACTAAAAATCATATTGTCTATAATTCAAATATTTCTTTTCTATTTTATCATCTTTTCTCTATTTCTTCTATTGTTATCACTCAAGATAACTGAAAAGTTCATTACATAAACCCTTGGCATTCACCGTTTCGGATAAATATTTTTATATTACTTATTTAAACTTTAAAAATACTAATAGTTTAATGTTTTAAACGATTTTGAATTAATTTGTTTTTTTAATGGAAAAAATATGCTCTTATATTTGTTTATATTTATGAATGATTTACAACCACTACATTAATCGATTCTCGATTGAATTGGTTCGATTAAAGACCATATTAACAAGGAACCTAAAAAGAAATTCAAAAGCCATAAAATAACTTGTTCATCCGTCTTTTTTTATTTCAATTTTTGGTTTTTAAGTACAGTTCTTCGGATTTCCAATTTTATAACTACTAGATCAGCCGATTCTCAATTGAATTGGTTCGATGATCAAATTAAAGACCCTATTAACAAAGAACCTAAAAATAACTTGATCATCCGGTTTTTCCTATTTCAATGTTTGGTTTTGGTTTTGAAGTTGCTCACAACAATTCTTCAAATTTCCAATTTTAGACAGATGAACCCCCATACCAGCCGATTCTCGATTGAACTGGTTCAATCTGTCAAGAAAGATATGATGAAACAAAGACAATTGCTAAACAATGACTCCAAGTAAACAAGCTACCATTTGATTGTTAATTAGTACATTTGCTTCCATGAGAAAGATGAAAACTTGTCTGGACTAAACGATACTTGTATATTATCACAATACAATATTGGAATTCTTCTGGATGATAAAACAAAAAGTTTTACAATCAGTGTTCTGTTTTAGGGTCTGTTTGTTTAGCTGTAATTGGTTTTCCAGAAAATGAATTACTGGAATTTGAATACTGAAATTTGAATTACTGGAAAATGAATTACTGGAATTTGAATTCTGGAAAATGAATTACATTTCTGTAAAATGAATTACATTTCTGGAAAATGAATTACATTTCTGGAAAACATCTGGAAAACGTTTTATGATGTTTGGAAGATGTTATTTAAACATTTTTTCGGTATATTTTAGTGAAATAAAATTTTATAAATTATATTAATTATTTATTAAAATAATAGTACTATATTATATTTTAAAAATATTAATTAGTATATTTTAATATCTTTACTAAAATATTATTGAAATATATATAAATAATATTATTCATTATTAAATATAAAAAAATTATTATATATTATTAAAATAAAAATATAATATCTTATATTATTATAATATATTTGATTATTTTATATAATATTAAAAATATAATATTATATTATTATAAATATTAATAAATATATTTTAAATATTTTAATAATTAATATTTTGATGAAAATGATATTAAAATATTTTATTAATATTAAATTCATAAAATAAAATTATTTTGAGTATTTTTGCTTTGAAGTGAAAAGTTCGGAAAATGACTTACGGAAAATGAATCCGTAAGTCATTTTACAGAAAACACAGGAAATTATGTTACTAGGAAAATGAATTACATTCCGGAAAACGAATTACGTGAAACAAACACGGGAAAACGTTTTCCGGAAAACGAATTACGTGAAACAAACACGGGAAAACATTTTCCGGAAAACGAATTACGTGAAACAAACACGGGAATTCGGGGAAAACCAATTCCGTAATTCCAATTACGGGAAACAAACAGACCCTTAATCTCATTTGGTATCAATTTTTGCTATCTATCATTTGATTTCACTTTTTTAGGAAGTAGAAAGCAAGTTGTACAAGGAACAACCAAAAGGAATCCAAACTATCAAATATTGATAGAAATAAAATGAAAAAAAAAATCAACATTGAATGAATTTTTATTTTTGTAGCAAGAATTACCATCATGAAAAGGAGTATTACCTTATCTTAATCTCTTGAACTTTTTTATCTGATATGGTGTATAACATCGTATAATTTTTTAGGTCAAATACCTTGTATAACATCGCATAATTTTTATCCTATTCTAAATTTTGACACAAACAGAAATAGAAATGCCCATCCAACTAATTTTATAAGTGTGAAAACAAGGTTCCTACATCGACTAAATGTTGCACATACACCAGACTGGGCAAGAGCAAAAACAATGTCTTGTGC